AAATTATAACAAATAAGGTCTAAGGTCTCGTTTGGGAACAGGTTAATTTAGTAACTTTTTGGCTATTTGACTAAAATATAAGCTAAAAAAAACTAGTATATTTGGGATGACTTTTTGACTTTTTACGAAAAGATGTGCAAAAAGTAGAGAGAAAAGAGAATCTTTGACTTTTTGGTATGGGTTGTTGACTTTTTGGCTAATTTAGGCTTGGTTTGGGGTACACTAAATAATACAAAAAGTCAAAAAGTCACTATCCTATTTAGGTCATATCATCTTATTTAAATCACATCATCTCTCTAACACATTACATCAAACCCAATCCAAACCCAATCCATATAAGCCAATAAGTGAAAAAGTACATTTTTTTAGAATATCCCAAACCAACCCTTAATAACTTTTTGACTTTTTAACTAAAAAATTCAGTTGCCAAACGAGGCCTAAGTGAAGAAATTCATACCCTTTGTTCTGAGAGTGGCTGACTTGTTTATTTATTATAAAAATAAATGAAAAAAAATGATATCACGCTAATAAATCATAAACAAAATAATATCCCGCAAATAAATCATAAACAATTTATAAGCCATGTTCCAAATAACAATTTGTACAAATAAAGAATTAAGGGTTGTTTGGGATGATCTAAAAGATATGTAAAAAAATAAAGAGATAATGTGATGAAAAAAAAGATAAAAAGATAGATTATATAGGGGATGCCAAACCGCTCCTCAGTGTTTATAATAACCGATCGTCTTCAGCATACTGCACTGCTGATCCTTACCAAGTATCTCCCTCTCTCTCTCTCTCTCTCTCTCAAAAGAAAAGAAAAGAAAAAACAAAAAACCATGTCGAACTCCATCAAAGGTGTTCACATCCTGATATTTCCATACCCAGCTCAAAGGCCACATGTTACCAATGCTGGACCTAACCCACCAACTAGCCCTCCGTGGCATCACGATAACCATTCTGGTGACACCAAAGAACCTCCCAACCCTGAACCCTCTCCTCTCAGCCCACCACCCATCTTCCATCCAGACCCTGGTCCTTCCCTTCCCACCCCACCCCTCTCTCCCCTCTGGCGTCGAAAACGTCAAGGACATCGGCAACGCCGGCAACTTACCCATCATCAACGCCCTCGGCAAGCTTCACGATCCAATAATCCACTGGTTCAACTCTCACCCATCTCCCCCTGTGGCTATCCTCTCTGATTTCTTCCTTGGCTGGACGCTACACCTTGCGCACCAACTTGGTATCCCCAGGATCGTTTTTTACTCATCTGGCTCTTTTTTAGCCTCTGTCTCTAATTTCATTTGGCAAAATATCAACACTGTCCGTTCTTTACCCGTCGTTCATTTTCCCGATCTACCAAGATCGCCGAGTTTCACCGCGGACCATCTTCCTTCTATATACCGAGTATACAGGGAATCGGATCCTGATGGGGAGTTTCTTAAGGATGGCATGCTCGCTAATATAGCCAGTTGGGGCTGCGTTTTTAATTCTCTTGGGGCATGTTTGATTGGAAGGATTAAAGTATGGGATTAGGATTATTAATCCGTGGGCCCAACCATCCTATGTTTGTTTTGACATTTGGTTTAGGACTATTAATCCAATGGATAATTAATCCAACAAATTTGTAGGATAATTAGTAATGGGGTAGGGGTGGGATAGTTAATACCACACTAATTTGATAGGATTATTAATACCTCACTATTAGTATTGTGAATCAAACATGGCCTTGATGCCTTGGAAGGTGAGTATTTGGATCACTTGAAGAAGAAAATGGGCCATCAACGGGTTTGGGGAGTTGGGCCTCTTAGTTTGGCTGGTGGGGCTGAAACCATTGGTCGGGTCAACCCGGATAAGGATTCAGGAGACAGGGTGTTGGCATGGCTCGATGGCTGCCCGGATGGGTCAGTTTTGTATGTTTGCTTCGGGAGTCAGAAGTTGCTGAAGAGGGACCAAATGGAAGCCTTGGCTGCTGCGCTTGAGCATAGCAAGATCCGGTTCGTTTGGGTGGTCAAGTCAGTGACAGCCCAACAAGTAGAGGACGGGTACGGGTTTGTACCCGATGGATTTGAGGATCGGGTATTGGGAACGGGTATGGTCATAAAGGGGTGGGCTCCACAGATGTCGATATTGAGTCACCGAGCGGTGAGTGGGTTTTTGAGTCACTGCGGGTGGAACTCGGTGTTGGAGGGAATTATGGCTGGGGTGATGATATTGACGTGGCCCATGGAAGCAGACCAATTTGTGAACGCAAGGCTGTTGGTGGAGGACATAGGAGCTGGGGTCCGTGTGTGCGAGGGTGCTGATGCGGTCCCTGACTCGACTGAGTTGGCTCAGACCACTGCTAATTCAATGAGTGGAGACATAAGTGTCCAGAAGGTGACAGCAAAGGAACTGAAAGACCAGGCAGTGGAAGCAGTTAAGGAGAGTGGGAGCTCTTGGAGAGACTTGGAGGGTCTAGTCAGAGAGTTGATCAAACTTTAAATCAAAATTGTTTGACAACAAGCTTCATTGAGTGCCGGACCACAAAAACCTAATAGTCTTAATCTGTGACATAAGGTTTTTTTTTTCCTCTATTTTTTTATTTTATTTTAAAGAGTTGGAATGAACCCACCTAGTTGTGTTGTTTGTTATATTCATAATTTTGTTAACTTTTGCATAAACTTTATACTTAGCATGTACCAGTTGGATCCCACGTGCTCGCCACATAGTCTATCAAGATTAAAGCCTGATTTGACGTACTAAGAAAAATTTAGAAAGTTAAAAAATTATTAAAAAGTTATCATTATTCATAACTTAAAAATATAAAAAAATTAATTTTTTTAATATTTTAATACAAACAATGATTGGACAACGTTGGTACTGTCAGTACGTATTGGTCTGTCCAAATGAACAAAAAAAAAAGTTGTATATATTTATTAAGTTGGAGAGTAATGTTAGGCCCGTGGGGGCCTAACACAGGTTTGTTTTTGATAATCCGAACTGTTGAATATGTAGAGTTCATTGAGTATTATATGATTGTAAAAAATTACGTTGATCGGATATAGATAGTTATATGATCGAATCAGATTTTTTTTCAGCCGTTTATTTTTCATCATCCATTAATTTCATACAAAACTGTTTTGATCACATAGCTATCGATATCCAATTAAAGTGATTTTTGATAGGAATATAGTACTTAACGAGTTCTACACATTCAACGGTTCGGATTATCGAAACGGGACCCTTGGTGGGCCCCACGGCGGGCCCCACGGCCTAACAATACCGGTGAAACCTCATGCACCATTTCAACCCAGCTGTACTTTCCTTTGTCGCCCGTCACTGATGATTCTACCATGTAGGGGTAAAAACGTAATTTTGCCATTTTATATAATATTTTAATACATATTTTTTCGTAAAAAGACAAAAAGTTATCCCAAATAATTATATTTTTTTCCTCAACTTTTTAGTCCAAAAAGTCAAAAAATACTCTTATTTAAAACACTCCAAACAATTCCTAAATTAGTAGTCGTTACTCTATTTTTCTTAATTTTTCAGATAAATGAAACCCATCCACGTCAAGAAGAGCTATGCTCATGGGCTATATATAGACAAAGGTACAAATATGATTAAATTATTAATAAAACATAAGAACAATATGTTAGTGTAGTGAGTCAAGAATTTGCTTGCTAAGAACTATATATTCACATATTGCATTAATGTATATGTGGATATTAGAGGAGCAAAATTGTCATCAAGAAGTCTAAATCGTCACTAGGGCCAGTCCTAAGATTGAAGGGGTCCAAGGTGAATTTTGAAAATGAGACCCTCTTATATTGAAAAAAAAAATCATAAATAGAACGATAAGTTACAACTTTTTTATTTGTTTGTAGTCATAAAAAAATTTACTTGCACATATAATCATTAAAATTATAAATAAAAATTTACTTTCATATATTAAGATAGGAAGCAATTATTACAAATACTTTAAAAAAAAAAAAAAACTCTAGTCTTGCTTCTTTTTGAGCCCTATGTTCAATTGGGCCTATAGTATTTGGGCATTTTTTTTTATATCTAAAACACAATTATATTTGGGGCCCCTATTTTTAACCCAAATTTGGGGGCCCAAGGTGCTAGGGCTGCAAACGAGCCGAGTCGAGCCGAAATTTAGTATGTTTGGACTTGTTTATTAAGATTTTAATGAGCTCGAGCTGAATAAAAATTTAAAGAACCGAGCTCAAGCTTGTTCACGAACCTTAACGAGCCAAAAAATTTATAAATTCATACTTGCATTTGAGACTAAAGTTACAATTAAAACTTTGATTATACAATTATATATACAATATATATAAACATATTAAAAAAAAAGTTCATATTTTACTAAAATAATAATATCTACTATCACTATTATATAAATGTACTATCTATAGTTAACTATTATTTACATTTATATTTTTTAAATATATAAATAGAATATTTCTCTTATTTTTTATACATATTTTTATATTATTTAATATATAAATAATAAATATTAAATGAGTCAGTTAACGAACCGACCTTACGAGCCAAGCTTTAGAATATTTGGGCTTGTTTATTAAAAATTTAACGAGCTCGAGCTCGAATGCAAAAAAAAATTAACAAACCGAGTTCGAACGAGCACTTACCGAGTTGAGCTCGAGTCTGTTCACGAACGACCACTACTAGAAATATGACTTTTTGCGTCTGTTTTTTTGCGACTGATTATTTGACCGTCGCAAAATTTTTTTCTTTACGTCAAAATAATGACCAAATCGTGGTCTTAACTTAAATATAAAATATAAAATAAAAAAAACCCAAATCAGTAAAACTTGAACTATGTCCCTTTTTTTCATATTTCCCAAATCTGAACTCCCTATCTCTCTCTCTCTCTCAAAATCTGTCTCTCACTCGACTCTCGCTCGAATCTCACTGTCTCTCTCGCTCGAATCTCGGTATGATGAAGGTTTGAAGATTTTGATCTATTGTTGATGAAGATTTGAAGATTTTAATCTGCTGTTGATGAAGATGTCGATCGATTCATAATAGAGATTCATGATCGGTAAGCCTAAACACTTCTCTTTGTCTCTCTCTTATGTTTGACACATCTTCATCGATTCAACTCTCTCTGTAATTCCGGCGCTTTTCCTGCGAGTTTACAGTGATCTCTGGCTCTGATTTCGAGTATTTTTTTTTCTTTCTTTTCTTATTGGTGCAGTGGATCCCGAAACAGTGCTTTACACGGAGCTATGGCGCGCTTCTGCTGGTCCGCTCGTGACAGTGCCTCTTGAAGGCGAGCGCGTGTTCTATTTTCCTCAAGGACATATTGAGCAGGTTAGTTTCCAGCTCTAGGCAATCCTATTCGGAGTTCTTTGTTTCTCTCAGAGGTTAAATTCATTAGGATTTCTTATAATGCTTTATAATTTTATCAGTTTTGTCTCTCTTGGTTGTGCATCTCCAATTGTTCATCAATTTTTTCATCAGATTCAAATTTGATGGAAAAAAATGGCTCCAAAATGATTGATTATTGATGAAGAATTATGTTTGATGGATATGTTTGATTATCTTCAGTCATCAAAATGATATTACTCCAATTTTGCCATCATACAATGATTCTAGGAATTTCTAAATTTTTATTTTTATTATTTTGTGATCTAGAACTAGCTGATTATCATTGATATGATCCACAATATATTCTTAGGTACATATCTAATCCTGAATCAGGGTGACTGACTGGTGTGTTTGGGGTTAGATTGGGAAGTGTTTTTAATGGTTAGTGGTTTGTGAAGTTAGAGAGGGTTACCGGGGGTGAATGAAGTGCCATCACCATGAAAACTGGTGATCTGTTTCTGTTTTGCCCTGTTTGTGTGGAAAGGTAGAGAGATTTGTGTATTGGCTTTGCAATATTTGCTGCAAAAAGCAGTGATAGCTATGCCAAAATTACTATTCTCTGTAGGTCGACTCTATTTACTATGCTTTGCTTTTAATGTAGGACAATGGAAGAGGAATGCCACATGATGACATTCCCAATATGTTTGGACGAGGTTTGACACTACTTGCAAGATACCGTTTCCATTTGATACGATTTATTGTTGGCACATGGATTGAAATATTTGTTTGATCATGGACATTCAATGTGTTCATATTACATTGAGAATTGCTAGGATTAATATGTTTCAACTCTATAATGATATTGTAATATTGACTTATTGTGAGAATATTTATATTTGTGTAGTTTTGTCTGGGACAAAATATGGCTTGAAGCAGACACGCGGAAAGTTTGGACTTGGTGCAAAGATGGTAATGTTTGACATCATTTAACCAATTTATGCATCTTCAGGTCTTAGTGTGAGAATATATATTTGTGCCCATCCATTAGGCTTTATTTGTATATTTTAGTTCCTATGTTCTTCGTTTAATAATCATGATAGAATATGAATGTGAATTTGGTCAACCATATTCTTATGCTTATAATATAATATGGTCAACAATTTGATCTTTGTCCTTATGTAGGCATTAATTTGGTCCAAGATGAGTACAGGGCTTCCTATTGACATTTCATCATCAATGAAGGGCCAAAATTATAGTTCATTCTGCAAACTTGATATAGACATTCATCGGTATGATTTATATAAGGCATAACTTATAATCATATGACTATTGTTACATTGTGAATGTGCATAGTTGTAAGTCTCCGGTTTAATTTTGTTGTACTTTTCGTTTCTTTCTTTCTAGTTTATAAATGGAGCTTCTTTCAATCATTAGGAACATTCCTCACATTCACTTACATGAAAAACGGGACAATAAGGAACGATGGCATGGAGCTGAAATCCAAGTTGTTATTGAGGGGAATTGAACAACTTACCGTGTATGTAGCACTCAATTTGGCCTATGTCATGTGATTCCGTTGTACTTTTAGCTGTACACATAAATAACAGAGCAAAGCATTTATGTGATGTGTTTTGGAATCGTGTGTGATGGACATGTAGGGATATTTGACAACATTGCATTTCATTCTTGACTACTAACTCCTTGATTCTGTGTTTGCACTTTGCAGTCTTAAATCTTGCACTATAAAAAATGATACTGTCATAAAACTGATTTGCTGGGTATATTATTTTTAATAAAATGTGATACTGTCATAAAACTAATCAAGTGACCTATCACAGTATAAATTACACACGTATCTGTACATGTAATTAGATTTTTTATCAAGCATTTGAGTAAAATTTATTTACAAACGGTTATGTGATTATGTCAAGAACCAAGGGCTTGATCAAATAAATTGAGCAACATATTCTTTTGTTGATGATAATCCTCTCAAATTCTATATTAGGCTTATCAATGGCATCACTGACGGAACTTTCTTTCAACTGGACTGGTTTCATTAGTGTGATGATTTCAAATATTGCATTCACTTACAGGAGTATCTATTCAAAGAAGCAATGGTAATGTCTTTCATAACATGTAATTATTCTTAGTATTCTAAATTGTGGTTTTAATTTTATGGGATGGAAGAGTGTGGAAGAACACAAGTAAGGTCCCCTGCTTGACCTTTAATAATGCTTGATTCTCTTATGTTGCTTTTGACTTTTCTAAATGCAAGAAGTAATGGTGTTGAACACTTGACACGTGTAAGACTTAAAAGAGTACAGGATTTGTGTCCAATGTGCCTAGTTGGACATGCACCCAGTATCTCTTGCTTAGTCTATTAGGTAATTTTTATAGCACTAAACTTTACTGACTAGTATCTTTTTATATTGTGAGTGACAATGTTAATATCAATATAAAATTGTGGAAAGGTTCTTTCTTTGAATAATGGTTAATAAGTTTGTGATAGGATACTTCTCTTACTCTTCCCTAAACCAAAGCATACATGATTAGTCAAAACTGTAAGCTTATATAGACTAACAGCACTAATGCAGGGGATCACTACGTAAAACCATTTGTAATACCAAAACCAGAAGTCAGAGTGAGCAGAAGAACCAGTGCAGATGAATCTCTATTTTTTCTAGAAATAGAGATTTGGATGTTGGCATGGTTCTATATTGAGAAATGCTATATGTCAACTGATAGTTATATGAGAATAAATTATGCATATTCAAACCATGGGTTCTTATTTAGATATCAACACTAAAAAGCTCTCCAAATAATCATAGTGCACCTGACAGCTTATAATCATTGAATTATTTATTTGAAGGTGAAAAGTGCTTGCCCGGTTCTCAGATAGGTACAAGTCATCCAAAGAACAAGGGAGGAACAAAGCCATTATTTCATCTTATTGGCGCACATTTTTATCGAGCTTAAGTACTACTTACCATTGGTTGATGCTGGAGCCTCAGAAGGTATACAACCCCATGACTTCTTCAAAAGAAAAAAAAAATGCTATAGTTTTGTATTTAACACCATGATCTTCACTACAAAAATGCTATAGTTTTTGAATTTATTTTCTGTCATGTTTAGTTTGCAAGTGTTTTGTGTTGTAATGAAAAACTATTGACAATGCATTGTGCCTATTATTTTTTTTTTCCAGAATCATGAATATAACTGTGAGTCTGTGACTATATGTAAATTATAACAAGAAGAAATGACATAAAGATTAAAAAGAGATGCAAACGCATAGGGTTAAGGCTTAACTTGTTGGGTTATGTTGTTGTTCTAGAAGAACCTGTAGTACTCAAGATGAGGTGCTTCAAAATAAAGGCATAAAAAAGCATAATAGTGATTCCTCTAATCTTTTTCAGCAGAGATGTTTGTCTGTGAACTTCTAATGGGTTACACAATATCTTTGAAATTTTTGTACTCTTTACTGCTTATGTTCAGTTTGTTCCTTGATATAATTTCAGTATTGAGTGTATTAGTTGATGTTTTAAAGTTATTTGAACTTTTTACTTCATTTCTATACTTCAAATGTGATCTTCATACATTGTCAATGATCCAGTTATGGGATAGCTGCAATTGTCAAGGACCAAGGAAGTTTGTTGTCCTACACCTTCGGTTTGACAAGGTATGGCCTGATTCTTTTATAAATATTTAGTGATCTGAGTATATAATTTTTTACTCTAGGTTCCCTAGTGTAGAGAAAGAGGTACAAAATTTGACTCTATGCTTTGATGCGTATATAGCTTAAAGATCAACTTCAGGAAGGCTAGTTGATTTTGCTCTTCCATTCTTCATATATTTTCTTGGTCCTCACAATCTTTAATCATTCTAGTCAGCCAAACAGTACCATCATTATTTGCCCTCTCGGCCTTACTCATTGGCTTTGAGCTTTGGGCCTTTCTTCTTGGAATGTTATATGACACGTTTTCAATCCTAGCCATGCTTGTAAAGAAGATTAAAATAAAATGCATGCAGTGATAATTTGTCCCCCATTTGCGGTCGCATAGGCCGTCGCAAAAAGTCTTTTGCGACTGTATTTTTATTATTTGCGACGGCTTGTGGCGGTCGCAAAAACTGTTTTTTTTAGTAGTGGACTCTGTTCATTTGCAGCCCTACGCAGGCCTCTCTTGCCTGTCCTCCCGGCCCTGATCATCACCAACTCAATTCTACAAGAAAAAAAAGTTTCACACAGTTGGCTTTTCTTCATCCCTTGAAGCACCAAAGCTTGTAGAGTTCACAGCATAAACAATAAACAATAATAAAGAAGTTCCACGTTATTATCTTTAATTTCCCATTTACACATGGACATAATGTATTCTATCATACTTTTTATTAGCACACTAGTGCTTAATATTTCTGAATCCAAAACAGTACCTTATCTTCCATGACACTTGAGGTTGGTGAGGTATGGTGAGAATTATTTCATTTAATTTTGGTGCGAATAAACTGAGTAGTTATACAATTTTTATGGGTAAATTACATTGATTTTATTAGATGAAAGGGGATATGATTTTTGCTATTACCCGTTTGGTTTCTTGCATCAGAGAAAAGAAAATAATAAGAAGAACAAAGGGGCAGCCCAATGGCCAATTCAAAATCATCTTTCTTGGATGAAATCATGAGAATTTTGTTCATCCCATCACAAGAGTCACTAACACTACTTTGCACAGATCCCACCATGATCATAATTCATGAGTATCCATCCATCCACCCATCCCAGAAGAGGATCCACATTAGAACTATGAAAAAAAATTATAACCCAAGGGGTTGTGGCATTGTGGTAAGGCCTTGGGGTTTAAGCCCCAAGGTCACAAGTTCAATTCTCCTCTTGGGCCAATCTCCTGGGCGAAGCATTGTTGGTTAGGAGGTCGGACTTCAAGGATGCCTAATCAGCTACTTGGTGTGGGTTTAATGCTCCCCCGCTGTGCGAGTCCTGACTTAATCGAAACTTGCCTTGGGAGGTCGGGAGGTCGGACTTCAAGGATGCCTAATCAGCTACTTGGTGTGGGTTTAATGCTCCCCCGCTGTGCGAGTCCTGACTTAATCGAAGCTTGCCTTGGGAGGTCGGGACAAACTTCCAAGTTATAATCTCTTACTCGGAACGGACAACAGGACCTCAAGGATGCCTAATCAGCTACTTGGTGTGGGTTTAATCTAATCAGCTACTTGGTGTGGGTTTAATGCTACTTGGTGTGGGTTTAATCTAATCAGCTACTTGGTGTGGGTTTAATGTTCCCCCGCTGTGCGAGTCCTGACATAATCGAAGCTTGCCTTGGGAGGTCGGGACAAGCTTCCAAGTTATAGTCTCTTACTCGGAACGGACAACAGGACACCCTGGTGATCTCCTCGTGGGGCGCTGCCTTGGACCTGCGGGAGGGTGGGAGGATTTCCTGTAAAAAAAAAAAAAAAAAAAAAAAAAAAAAAAAAAATTATAGAGAAGCCAAATCAACCCAACCCCAACCATCCCAAATTTTGTTGTACTTTTTAATTACACAAAATTACAAAAAGATATCAATCCCAACTTTTTAGAAAAACAAATTATTTAATTATCAGAATACTGTGTGTTTGATGAAGATTCACTTTTTGGAGGTTGCTCCTGCGTCTAACTTATGGCTCTATAGTCTGAACAAATTATAAATTTTAAAATCACAAAAAGAGTATAATTATCATCAAAAG